ACCGCGAATTAGCAAACCTTTCGTTTCCCAAACCTACCAGTTCATCGGCTTATCATAAAGCTCTTCTTCACATAATTTTTTTTTTTCGTATTATCCCTAAAGCTAACTTCATATCCTAAAAACCGTTGTCCTTAGAAAAAGTAAAGGTTTTTTTACCAATTCCTGTGTGTGGAAATGGGGTTTTTTTGCAGTTTTACAGCTGCAGCAGAAGTTCTGGCGGAATCCACGGAATCATTTGAAATTACCGTACTGAAATTTTTGTCAACAAAAGAAGACCGACGAAACGGATTGAAGCGATTCTTGGAACTTAAGCTGAACTCATTATCCCAACCAGAGGTACAGATGCATTTTTTTGCGTACTACCCAATTTTTCTTGTTTATCTACTTTAGTTTGAGCCTTGTTTTTTTAGTTATACTAAAGAAATATCGCGAATGTGAATACTTTTTATTGATTGTCCGGGCGGTGCTCGTTTTCCTGATAATGATAACTTCACGTGTACCAAGTGTGAACTATTACTGATCCACTTTTGGTATTGGCTTGAGCGTAGCTCTTGCCGTTCTTGTTTTTGTTTTTCTCTTCAGTTTTTGAAGGCGATGAAACCAAATGGTATTTTAATTTTAGTTGGTATGTGTTTATGTAAGATGTAAGGAAATAAAAAAAGAAATGTGAATAAGTTAAGATTAAAATCTGAATGGGAATGTTTCGATCCATCAAGTTGGACCTTGGTAGTTCATGTTTCCTTTCTTATTTGCTATCATAAATACATTATTTTCTCCACAGCTGAACTAACAGTTTTGTTTTGTTGGCCGCAATCGTAGTAGGGACATGGACAAGAATGGTCCTTATCGGATAAGCGAGTGGTACTGGTCATTGTTGGACTGAAAGGGAACTTTTCAGGATTATTTGAATAGTTGCCAGAAGATAAAATCTTTTTTTTTTCACTCATTATGAGAGACAACGACAGTTGTAATTGATGTAGAGGTTAGGTGGTGACTTTTTTTGTATATCTTTCCTCCACCGATACCAATTTGACCTCAAAACGGGTCGTAGAGGGACTGATTTACTCGATGACGGTGTTGTGCTTTCGTTTTTTACAAAGAGAGACTTTTTATTTGCTAAAAAAAGTCAAGAGTATCGCAAGAAATATGCAAAAGAGGTGTATTCTAGTTGATTTTTTACTTCAGTTAATAAAATTTTTTTAGACTTCTGGGATATGTCTCCTTGAAAGTGATTTTAAAGGTCAATCTTATTTTTTTACTAAAATCTGTCAGTATTGTTGAGAATTTCAGGATAAAATACGACGTGATGCTCTCGTTCTTTGGCTCCTCGAAGTTCAATTGGCAGAATTTGCGGAGCTAAGACGCACTGGAAAGCAAGCCTTTGGGGAGGAATCTAGTTCAACTACCGAAGCAACACCGGCCGAGCAGCAAATCAAAAATATGCGGCAGCAAATCGAATTATTCCTTGCCCGGTCTAACGTTCTGGTGATTTTTTTGGTCTTTTTGAGCTAGGATTATCCCAGAGTCAAAGACTTTTTATGCGTTTTGTGCTGTGTAACAGCAATACAAAACGCATATTGTCACGGGGTTGTTTGTGTGTGTGTATTTGTGTGTGTGTCCGCAGCTTTCAACTCGGAAGCCACAAAAGCTAGGAAGCTGAAAATTTAGGGGAACGTTCCCCATCCACATGTGACCCCGCAAATTTTACGGGTAAGTTAATATCTCGGAGTCACGGAGTCTAGGAGACTGAAATTTTAGGGTAATGACCCCCTGCCCACGCTCAACCTTGCCCACTCAAATTCAGCGTTTTCGCGCTCTCGGATACCACCTATGGCTTCGAGAAAATTTTGGCGGGTGAACCATTAACTCGGGAATCACGGAAAGATATTCACCTTCAAGGTTTCGAATTCAACTTTCATGCACTGGTGCGTGAAATTTTTGACTGTTTTCCAATGTCTGAACTATTTTTGCATAGACTAAAGTGCAAAGCAGTGAAAATCATTAATAGGCAATCGTTCGATAGACTGAATTGCACAAAACGCATGACCGCATCGGCTAGTCTGGTGCGCGTTGCTATTTATCTCTAGCTACCCACTGGTATATTTTAAAATTGTGGAGCTAATGTAGAGACTACATGTTATTACGTGCTGTGGTTTTAAACATTATTACTGGCCAAGCATGTTTCAAAGGCACACGAAGGGCTTGCGAAGGTTTTTAAGAAAAAGAGATCAATTAGATTTAATCGTGCTGCCGAGGCCTAAATCCTTAAAATCATATCAGAAAACAAAACCTTCGCCATATTTGTTCTCTGTGAGAGGTTAAGGCACTCAGAAAGTAGCCTCAGTGGTAGCAAAAACCAACAGCAATCACCCTCTGACAAGGCTATCAGTGTCCCCTTTTCCTGTCTTTCCATGATTGCTTGCAAGTAATTTGGTAGCGGGGTTGACTCCCTGGTATGTAGTAGTACTAGCTTGTTAAGACGAATGAACAAATCGTAGAGGGACTAGTTGTCCTAGAGCAGATTTGAATCCGTAATCTACTACACGTCAACAGTGCTACTTTCCTACTATGCCATGGCTGCCAGCTTGAAACATTTAGATCCAGAAAAACTGCGTTTTATGGAATAAAACATTTGTTGTGCAAATACTTTGCTGCAGGCGTCTGTTGATTGTAAAAATTTGAATTTTACAGGCAACAGTAGAATCAAGTCGTGATGCCGTATATCGTCTAATTATTGCACATGCACATTTCGATATACAATTATATTTGGCTCAAAAATTAAAAGGTTTTTAAATTTTTTTAAATATCTTAGATTTTTTTTTCTTCTTTCGTGAACAGCTTGTAAATATGAGAAGGTAAGCAAATTGAATTTTATCCTTTCGGATCCTTATCTAGCACCAATCCCAGGGATTCTTTTCTGGGCATCTTTCTTTAGTCAAGTGTGTTAAGCCCCACACGTGGTCCTTGACTGCAGCAGCGATAGACAGGGGAGAAACACCAGCAGTTTAT